TGGTACCCAAGAGATGGAGTTAGGAGCAGAGGTCGCAAGGTAAGAAGATGGGAAGATGAAATAAAATTGACCCTAGGACCCTTTTGGACCAGAGTAGCAACAGACAGGCTGCAATGGAAAGAGTTGGAGGAGGCCTTTGCCGTAAGGCACACCGAATTACGAGATATCATTTAATAAAATTTTTATCTACTTTAAATGTAATTTTTGTAAATTGTAAAAATTCGGAAATAAAGGGCTTTATTATTATTATTATTATTATTATTATAAGTACGAAACAAAAAACTTGCTCTGAGTTCTTACTAGCTTTTCAAGAATCATCTTAAATCGCTAGTCCCTATCAATATGCAGCAAGAAAAGGAGTGTTCACTATAGCAAAGCAACAACAATATCCACTATGAAGAATGAATACTGGTTGGATGTAGTGGCGATACGCAACTAGAGCTATGTGCCATCCAAAAGTACACATTAGACATACATAATTGACATATCTACAAATCGCTAATAATAAGATTGCTTGGCCTTTTGTAATGGACCATCAGTAGATTGGAAGAAAAGACCATGCTTGTGGCCGAATTAAAAATGTTAAAATGGATGTGTATTGTGTAGTGACGAGAATAGATAAAATCAAGAACGAATATGTTAGAGCAGTTTGAAGGTTCCGCTCGTGATTAAGATACTAAGAAGTAAAATTTTAGATTATTCCGACTTACGATATTTAAAGTTAAAATAAGTGATAGTGTACATAGTATATAATTAATACCTTCGTCATAACAAGACACAATACTTAAACACAACACTAACAAGACAACTGAACGCGCCATGACTGTTTAATACGAGGCAATGAAGTTTGAAATGAAAATATCGTTCTTATATAGAAGAGAGGCTTCATAAGGCTAGTGTACTGTTATTTTATTTGTTAAAGTGTTTTTCAGAATAAAATACAAATTATTCAAATATAAATACACTTTACACACATTTTTATTCATGTTAAATTGAAGTTTTAAATATTATTTTTTTTATATTTCTATTTAATTTATTTGGAATTTTCACATGTAAAATATATAAAATTATCCAATCGTGTTTGTGTTTATTACACAGGGACGTAACAGTTCTTTTAAAATTTATCGATAAAACTAAAGTTGTGTTTAATTAGGAAAATGGGTTTAAATAAAGATAATGTGAATGTAAAATTTCAATATAATTAATGTTATCATATAAAGGTACAAAAAACATAATATATATTTAATTTGCAAAAAATATGTGTAGCAAAAGACAGCATTATTTAAAATAGTCAATGTCATACGCCTTGAATAAAAAGATGAATTCAATATGAATGTTTCATTGGCATCTTTAACATAAGACATCTCTGTATATTAATATTTAATACTATACTATCGTGTTATAGTTATTTCTAGTTAATAATTATATGTTTTATTATTTTTCTTGCCCCTTTTTAATATATCTTTAGTATAATATTTTGTCTTCATATATTCTCTGTCACGTGTCCGTTTATATAAATTAACCTTTACAAAGAGCACGTTGTATTCACCTTAGTGAGGTATTTTCATTCTTATTGTTGTTTCAGGTGATCAAGACCTTTATTATATTTGTTACTCGTCATCACCGTGAACTGTTAATGAGTGTTTAATTATTTTTGAATTCTTTAACGATTTCGTATCAATATTTCTAATATGTTTTCTTCTATCTTGTATTGCTATGTTATCGCCTTGTTTGTCGTTTTATGTTTTCATTCTTATGAGTTGGATCGAACAGATGTTAAGTAGTCAGTCTGTCAGTTGTTTCCGTTCCTAACGACTACCAAATACCGATCTGATACTTAACTTGCTCAATGGTCGCATGTCCTGGTTTTCAATATTTTATTTAACTTAGTTACTTCCATTGTGGGTTCAACGTATAACTAGTTTCTGTCACAAACTTCGTTTAATTCGACCTCAAACTTAGTCCCAGTAGTAAGTTAGTGATTTATATTTGAAGCATGGATGTGGCAACAAATTCTCAACGCTCTCGTTCCGTGCTCCTTACGAAACACTACTTTTAATTAATGTTTCGGAATTCGGTGGGAGCCATGTGAAAATTCAGGATAAATTATAAACTATATGTTACACTGATATCTTAGATCAAGGTTCGATAACATTTTGGCTGATATGGATCACATAGTGAAAAATATTTTTAAAACGAGCCGCTATCGTTATTAAAAAGGGAAAATTATTCATGACAAATAAGTATAAAAATGAAATTAAGAAAAAGAAAAGAATTTAAAGTATTTCTGTAACATCGATACACAAATATTTTCTTTATACATATAACACAAAGTTTAATATGACGTATTTGTTTGGAGATCAAGCAACGAGTAGTTCTGCTTATGGTCACATTGAATGGAAAGTGGCGCTAGTAGCAAGTGGGCTATAATGTTTCTGTTTATATTTCATAGATGTCGCTTTATTAACTTTAACAATTCATGAACCGATTGAAATTAAATGTCTGTGAACTCTCATATCCAGAGATATATAAATGATAGTTTATTCTAAAGCATATAACAATATATGTTTCTTGTGTAGGGTATGCCTAATACTATGGTAACTTGCTTGTGTGGTGTGACTGTGTGAGCGCCACTAATCTTATGTCAGGCCTAGTCTTTTAACTACTGTATGGTGAACTGATTGATGAATCAGACCTCATCACATGATGAGATGTCGTGAATGTATTTTGTTATAATTTTCATATAAACTGTCTTATTGACTGCAGCACCTCAAACGTATAGAAACGTCGGCTGTCTTTTTATTTTCGTTTTGTCTGTAGCTGTTAGCTATAATGGTTTTGATCGTCATCGGGAGGGTCGATTGGCCCGATGGGACCTACGCGTTAAATTCGGGCCTGAAGGGCAACGTCGTTTGCCCACCAACTATATGAGATCCATTATCCAAGACGCCTACTTTATACGTTTGATCTACGAGAATATAATATCAATACAATTGTTAAGAAAGTATGACAAGGCTGTAAAATTATTCATTTAAATTTAATACGAACTTGTATATTTGAAGGACAGAAAAATATTCCTACGTATTTTTCATATTTATACTTATCTTTCTCAGTTACTCATGTGATGTATTGAATGTGTTCTTTGTGTTCGATTCATTGACTATCTGTTATCTTAAAAACTGTTGTGTTAATTAAAAATATTAATAATTTGTAATCATCAGGTCACGAATAATTTCTTTTCAATATTGTATTTTCTGTAATTAATATTAAAAATAATCATAGCGTGAAATGGAGCATGGAAATAATAATTTTATCAACGGTTTGAAAAACATACTTCTTATGAAAATAATTAAAAATATAGCATGTACTCTATGAAAAGTGGTTATAATTATATATATATATATATATCGATACTTGAGGACGTGATATTTGACGATCATATATGACAAAATAAAAATTAATATAACATAAATATTAATAAACTTCTAAGTAAAGTTAACCAAAAGTTATGTTATTAATTACGCATCGTGTGAACACCCTACAGATTAGGTATGCACACACACTCACACATAAGCGTGCGGCGGCGTGGTGTTGTATCAGCACGCTGCCGCACGCGTCCACACTTGGAACACTTGGAACGTGTCAACACTTTATTTATTTATACGAAAATTTTGTCAAAAATTAGGTGCCTATTTTTTTTACATAATTCGAATGAGAATCATGTACCGAGTATTCTCCTTAAATATTGATAGTAATTCACCAGTCACCCTGTATACACCTACAGCATTGCAGAGTAGTCGTCTCTTGCTTAAAAATCCCTCCCTGGCCGTTTGACTGACTGTCTATTTCTCCACAGAAATAGTCTAATATGTTAATTTGAACAAAAGGTAGAAATAAAGGTAATAATAACTCATCAGGTATCGAATTAAATATTAAATATTTGCAGATTCTGGCTTGTTTTATGTCTGTTAATATATAATAAAACCTCTTGCTCTTATATAGAACTTCTTATTATGTGTTTTGATGGTGATTTGTGTGTACCTACACATCGATCGTTTTCAATGTGTTTTATGCATTTCTGAGTCGCTTTTCTTGGGTAGTCATTAGCTATGTTTAGTTAATATCGGTCCTGTAGTACGAACCCTTCCAAAATCATATCAGATATTTTTAATGTAAGATAACTAGACTAAGTGCTTCACGCGTGCTACAAATATATTCATGGGTAATGAGTTATTGAAAATTTAATAATATTTTATTCTAATACTGTGTTAATAAGAACATATAAGTATATACTTTATTTATATAAATATTAAACAAAATAACGTACAATACATATTGTATTAATTATTATTGCTTTGGGGTTGCTGCTGGGTTTCCTCGGAGCTTAGCTTTAATGTTTGCTGTAAACAAAAAGTACATATGATTAATAATTCTCATACATCAGGTATAAATGGATTTTTTGATAAAATAATAAGTTTTACTAAGTGGGCAAAACAGAATGACACTAGATTGCAGCTTAGTGATATGTATCGCGAGGATTTCAAAGTCAAAGATCATCGCTTCAAAGTACACTTACATAGAAATCGTTCGCGACATGTAACATGGTTGGCTCTACTTGTTCTTATTAATCTCATTGATACCTTATTTTAATTATGTACTACATCTGATACAATAATATATATATTTTAAGTTGTCTATTATCGACGTTTTAGATGTTTGTTTATGGTAGCTTCTAAATTATAGACTAGTTAATATCCTTTAGTTCAAATTAAAATTGCCTCGTCTATCGTAATGGCACAATGTAATATTACATGATCTCGAGAGTCCATATTTTAATGATATGTAGCTCTTCCTCTTTAGTTTCAATAAATCTTTTTTTTACTGCTATCTTGGTCATACAACGATTGCTGCCTGAATATTAATTAGAGGCCTTATTCGTTACTTCACTAATGAACCGTATTTTTCGTATGCTTCTCTAAATAGTAATAGAGTTAACTAACGGCACTCATAGTAGGGCACACAAGTCCCGTTATCTCTCCAGTGATGTGGCTGACAGCGGCAGGCGGGGCTGCACTCCACTACAGTCAGTATGAAGAAGGGACACTCGTCTGTGGGAGAAGCGTTTTCACACTCCTGGGACGGACACCACGAGGGACAGCTGTCATACACCTCCCTTACACCAGAACACTCGAACGGAGCTGAAAAACACATGTCAGGAGTAACTAAAGGGATTTAAAATATATGGTGTTACTTTACGTCTTTTCATTTAAATAGTCTTAAATTGTACACAGGTTCCCATAATTGAAAGCATATTTTGTATTTAATTCGTCACTTCAGACGACATCTTTCAAAAATGTGTGAAGATTTTAATTATGTTATCTTATTTGTAACAGTTTTGATTTCCAACATAAATTCTAAAAGTATTCAGATTTTTTTGTTCGTAAATATATATTTTTTTAAACAGAGATTTTAAATTCAAACACCTTGTAATCATGTGTTATTGTTGACTGAAAAACATTATTTCCATACTAGACAAGATACAGAGTAAATGTTTAAAATATTATACACCAAAAACGACACTTGTGATGGAATACATAGTTTCTTAAATAGAATAAAATTGATCTTATCTAAAACATTTTAAAAAGAAAAAAAAATAGTCTAATCTGAATGGAAATTCAACGTATAATAAACGTTTGGCACCTAAAAATTACTCCTATTTAACTCTCTCCCTCAATACTATCAATAAAACAAAATGACTCACGACATTCAGTAGTAGGTATGCAGGTTCCGTTGTCAGCTCGTCTATGATTGAAGATACATTTACATGTCGGCGGAGGACACGTCTCAGGTGTTGGGCAAGGAGTCTTGTCATGATGACGACTCTTAGGGCAGGAGTCGAAGGAGCAGTCTCTCGGACAATCCACAGCTACCTCGTTAACTCCGCACTGTAGCTCAGCTGTAATCAATAAGTTTTAAAGTGTTATAAATAAATATTAATATTAATAAAGTCAATCATGTCGTGATGGCCTTGTGGTTAAAGGCCCGTTTCTAGTGCATGAGGGCGCGGGTTCGAAACCTGGCAAGTACCAATGTGATTTTTTTGAATAATATATATATTCTAAGAGTATTTAAACACCACTGACTGGTGAAGGAAAGCATCGTGAGGAAACCTGGACTTATATAATATCAAATTATAAATTTAAAATCACCAACCGACCTTGAGCAAGCGTGGTGACTAATGCTCAAATCTTCTCCATGTGAGAAGAGGCCTATGCTCAGCTGTGGGCTTTTGATATTAGTAAAGTCTTTGCTTCGTCTGACGATTGAAGGCATTTCATATTAATATCACATTGATTTGATGTCTCAGTACGTTAAATCTACAAATAACGTCTCGTATTGGGGCTCGATAACATTTGTGTTCGTTGTTGGACTTTCCCCTTAATAATGAATCGCTTTTTGGGCGCGGTTGTGGATTCTCATTTATATGAATTATATTTTTATTCTCCAGCATTAAATTAATTTGTAACGACGTTGTTACTACCCTCGTCTATACATTATAAAAATAACACGATAATGTCTTTAAACGGGCAAATATTGCTAATAACTATTCATTCTATTGGGTGCACCAAGTGAGAAAACATTGTAAGCAAAAACTCTCAAAGTTTGAATACAAATCTGCTACTGTAAAGTCAGTGGTATTATTTATAAGCAATCTATAAAGAAATGGGTCATAATAATAATCCTGTGCGCTTTACTCCGACATGTACTATCACATACGGACTGATAATTCTTTTAAAACATTTTCAATTAATTATTACTAGAGCATATTTATATTGATTTTCTCCTAACTCGCTCGTACCCCGTGTCCTATAAATGTAACAGTCACAAATAGCTTGTATTAAAAATACAATTCGATAGGGAAGGAATCAATAAATATGTTGTATCAGATTCCTATAAATGACAGTCATTTCATTTATAGTTTAAAATAATATTTTAAGTAAATTAATTTCAATATAATTGATGTTATAATTATCTTAATGTTATAGTTAGTCATTTGAAAGAATAACGTTTGGATGTCGGTTAGGTACTCTTGAAATGATGTATACCGTACACAATATGTAGGTATATTTTTAACTATTCCTAAGTTATAAATGATATAAACACAATGTATGTGTTTGTTTAAAAGTCACGTCTATCATAAATTTGCTAAAAGATACAACGTAAAATGTATCATTATTCTAAAATGTTCCTTATTTTTGTTCAACGTCATCTCTTGGATTTTCCTAATGACCGTGAAATTAAGATTACTTTTAAAATAATTTTATTTATATTTTTTATTATTTAAAACTTATCGTATAACTAATTGATTGACAACACAATGAAACTACGACTATATATTTTAATATTCTTTTGTATCTCGATTTTAATGACCTGTTATGATGCAATAAAATATTTTAAAACTCACCCGCTGAAGAAGCCGATGTATATAATATTATAATAGCACAAAATATTTCAAATAACAACATATTTGTTTACTAATTCAGACTGTTATTAAGTTGAATGTGAGAAATGAATTTGTCAACTGCTGTTTTATATTAACGGTTGCAACCTTAAATCTGTGAGTGTTGTTTAAAGCGCCATCTATATATCGGTTTTAGTATTTAATAACTTACAAGTTATAAATGTATATTTGAATACGTAGTTCAGCAGATGGACAAGAGATGGCAGCCTTATTAAATGTGCCCCGGCTCCCTCTGTCGCGTGATGCAATGTTTTCGGGATTGGAATTAAAAGTAGCCTTATTTACTCTTTATTACATCAGCTACCTGTCAATAAAAGTCCGTCAACATCGGTTAAGCCATTTCAGAGATTAGCCGAAAAATATATCGCATAAATATTATTTGTATTTCTATTCAATACTGCAAATGGACAATCCATTTTGATTTACACGTATAGATGTATAGATTATCAAATAACTGTCTTCTAATTGATAACAATAAATCCTTAACCAATTTCTATAGCATCACTTTAACATTTTATATGATATTTTATGAAATAGGCAGATTACCAGCACATTGTTGTACATTAAAAATAAATTTTCGTTTTAAATTAGATCATATAAAAAAAATAAAAAAAGTTTAATAGAAAAAAAAGGAATAAAGTTAATATTTGGAAAAAAACTAAAGACTTATTCTGATGAAGGAATAATAAAATAGTTTTTTAATGAATAGAACATTGCACATTAATGTTGTTTGTTATCATTTGACAAAAATTGATGGCTGGGAGACAACTACACGTGGTAACTACAGATTCATCCATAATAAATCCATTTACAAACAATGTATCGCAAAAAAAGCTATTAAAATATTTCTTTTCTAATTATAACTTAACAGTATCGGGACGAAAATGTGTCGATTTAGACGCGAATGTTCTGATATTCAGAATATTATAGGATGAGAAAGTTTTATGTCAGAAATTGTTCTGAAACGGTGAATTTCAGTCACTTTTATTTAATGTGTTAGATTCTTATAATATTGAAAAGACAAGTGAATGATCGGTTTTAATCATAACTGAGTGCTGTTCAAAATTTTAGTACGTAATTCGCTGGAGTAATCAATTTCAAAATGGTTTTTAGGTAACAGTCTATTATAAAATTTATAAATGTTTACTTTTTATTGAAATCTACTGAAGTATTTCGTTTCCGAGCGACATTCACAATTAATTACATTCAAAAATTACTTCTCTTTGTAATTCTACATTTCACAAATAAAAAGATTATCATTTACAAAAAACAAAATAAAATTATAGCTCACACAAGGATAGCACGTTTATTGAATGACCTTGCAATGAAAAAGGCCTTTTCACATTTCCTTCGAATTGGGAAAATTCTCGGATGTTGTGTAAAGAAAAAGGCATATGAGGAGGAAATCTGTTTTGTATTTCAATACTGATATAATGCTGGAGGCATAAGAATATGTTTCTTAAATTATCTTTATAAAGATATGTTCTGTTGACAACAGTGTGTGTTTTACATAATGTATGTACGTGGAAGTGACTTGGAGTGAGTGGTTGAATAAAAATACATGTATAAGAAACAAGAAAAATATAGTAACGAGCAGAAAACATAGATAATAACTCAGTTAAATTTAAATAAAGCAATAAATATCCGTCAGATTTATAAGAAGCTAGATCTGCTATAACGATTAGTCTCAGATGCCAGGAAAGAAAATGGTACATTGTTTAATTGTATACTTATCATACAAAACAAAATGCATGTATTATACGGTGCATTATTTCGTCCCTCTATCATCGTGAAATGTCGAAAAATATTGATTAATATAATCAAAAGGATACAAAAGTAAAAGAAAATAGACGGTTGATTAAAATAACGTTAGGTAAAGAGTGATATTTGACTGAGATGGAAGTAACTAAACTTTATATTAAGATTCGGTTATAAAATAAATACACGTACAATAATCATTACGTTTAACAAGCTGCCGCTAGATGTTTGTACAATATAAGGAAAATGTTATACAAATATTTAATCAGAAGTAGGTAATGATAGTATTCTATTAATTAAGAAACACTTGTACTAAATATTGATTTACATTAAACGTCGAGATATGTACGGAATCTGAAATATATAATTGGGTTTAAGAATGTTATAATATGATGAAATCAGGAATTATTGATATCAAAAACTTTCGCGAGTATTTATTTAAATGAAACTAGTATTTGTCGTAGATAATACGCGTGTTTTATTTTTATAAAAAACTATATACTCCCGACTTTTCGGTTACCTTTCTGGAATAGTAATTGAGAAGTAATCAAAACGTCCTAAGTATGTTATTTTTTTACAAAAATAAAACACGTCTAGCAATCCGAAAATATTATTAGTTTCATTTAAATCAGGATTTATTCTTGTGATGTCATAGAAACTGTCAGCTTAGAGTTCCAATAATTTTAATGATAGGGATATGATTTGTTATTCATTATGTAGTACCTGCAAGTAGAATGTGTAATTTTATCTCTAGAATAATAATCAGAAAATTTAGTAATTGCTATCTTGTTCTTGTGATTAAACATTAATCATTCCCTGATTTTAACAGCCGTCTCTGTTGTAAAGACAAGGACATATAATAATGAAGGTTCATTCTGAAAGCGATCCATCACTCTCATAATAATATTAAAATATTCATGTTGTTTTCATAATCTTGACGAAGATAAAGAATAAAAATTTATTGTGATCCATAAAAATATTATTGCCGGCTCACTTTAATTGATTCAAGAAAAAGATGAGCTTAGAGATAAAATGAATTATAATAGAAAACAGATTTAAAAGTAACGTTTATTATAAATGATTAATATTATTGTTTCATTCACTTTGTTTGTATTGAGATATATATATATATATATATATATATATCTATATATATAACATAATTTAAAGCATTAAAAATGTTATAATCAAAATGTATTTAAATTATCACAAAAGAAGTATAGGAAAGTAAAGTATGAGTGGCATTGTTATATATTTGTCCGTCTGTTGCTCCACTTAAATTAACATTGAACCCAAAAATGATAAAGTTTCCAAGAAAAGTTAAAGTGGTTCAAGGTCTTGAATCGTTTTCAACAAATAATAAATTATAATTTTATATTATTTCGCAATTTCAGTTCGGGGCCTGCTAACCATATTTCAAAATGTTTGACACAAGCTGTAAATATTAATAAAAACTTCATTCAGAATTATAATTAAAATTTTCACAAAAATAAGCTATAGAATTTACGCGTTATTTATTTGTATGTAAAAGTAAAAAAAAATAATAATCTTTGAATGATGTATTCTGTTTTTTCTTAATACCCACCTACCAATAACTATTACTCGAGTATAGTTGTTGTGGTAAATATTTGACGTCAATGATCAAATATTTCGGTGATAATATTTGTTTTTAAATTAATTAACATTAACGCATAATAAATTTCTCGTCAAATTATATGTGAGAGTAATTGACGCAACTCGGACTTCATTTACATCGGCGCAAACATCGAGAATTCAGGTAAAGGAGTACATCAAACAATAGTATTGTATGTTCAGCTTTCGGCTCTGTTTGTTTAGTGTGAATTTATAACAGGAGGCCGCTTCACTAAGACTTTACAAGTGGTCGACGAACATGACTGAAATTATATCAAACGCGTTCTGTCTCGTGTTGTTCTTGGGTTTGGGGGGTGAGTTACATGTGTAAAAGATATTATTAAATTTTGATATATTTTATTAGAATTTTTTAAATATAAATAAGTGCGTCTATAAATAATTAAAAGTTTTTCATCTAATTCTGTCGTTTATAACAGTATATATTTTTACGTTTTAGTTTCAACACCTCAAGGCAATAGGTATAACGAAGGGATCCTACAAAATGAAAGATTTAGTGAATTCAATGTACCAGGAAGGTTTGATGAACGCGCGCCACCGTACGATGTTAAATATAAGCCAAATGAAGTAATGGAACAGGAAAGTCAAAGGAATCTCTTATTTCAAAACGAAGGCTATAATCAAAATGAATTTCAAGGCAATAAAGGAGAAATTACACTGAATACCCGGCGTGGGCCTCTCAATCCATCTATAACGAGTTTAGCTCAGGAACAAAATCCACGTTTTATATCTCAAGAATATCAGCGAGCACCAGTTCTAAACAGTAATGAAATAAGGGCCATCAACAACGAACAAAGGATATTGAATCACTATCCAGAAGATTTCAAAAATATCAACATACATAGGAACATAATGCCTCAGGATAAAGAAGAGATAATCAATGTGGAAAGGAATATAAATAATGTAAAAGATTTCGAACCTGAAGTTCTTTATAGACCTTCCGTGCCTCAAGCAAACAGAATTCATAACTTTAGACCAGACTATGAAGAAAACCGTGAAATCAATATTCCTGGCGTCGGTGCCATTATATCAGAATCAAATAATAACAGAAATGTTATTTTACCAAAAGTAAATCCTATTTCTCAAATAAGCCATATGAATGAGAGATTAAATTTGCCAGTTGAGCGATTAGCCAATAACATGGATAGAAACAACGACGAAGACGGAATACAAATAAACGTGCCACTAGCAACACCTGAGTACATACATTCAATTTTGAATGAATACAGACACACGACACAAAGAAGCTTAGACTCCCTTAATGGTATGAAAAATGAAAATACTTTACTTTATAGTACAAAAAACGTAGAAGGAACCTTTCAAAATCCTTCAGCAGAAATTCTTTACCAAACAGGCCGAGCAAAACCATACGAAATAAGTACCGAACAATTATCAGATTTGCCTCAGGGTAAGAAGAAGAGTTTAAGAAAGTCCTAAAATTATTTGCATGGGTAGTATTATAACCTAAATTGCAATTACCATTAATTAATTGTCTTATTTATTTAAATGGCTAAGATTTTCTAAAAAATATTATTTTCACAGTCCGTTTGGGGGAGATCGAATATTGTTAGTCCCTTTTTTCCTGGCCTGACTTGTTTAGATGGTTTAGGAGTTTTCAATTCATGGAATAAATAATAAAATTTCATTTAATTTACAGGACATGCACGCGTTGAAAATATTTTAAGCAACCCTCAAAGATTGAAACATCTCTATTTATCCTCAAAACCATCGAAGCGTTACATGGTTGTGTATCCAGACGGTAGAGTCGAGCAAGTAGATGAGTTGGAACATATCCAGAAAAATTATCCAAATTATGTTATGCTTCAAGCCAAAGAACTTTTGCAGAAAAGTCAAGTGAACCCAATTACAACTTCTGAAATACGAGACTCTGCTAAGCCCGTTCTCTCTACGACTACTCCGATACAACCAATAAATCCTACAATGGATACTAAAATAAATCAAGTAAATAAAATTGCTTCTCAAATTGTAAAAGATCAAAAAATACCTGTCACTACTGACCCTATCATTGGTCCGACGAAAAATGCTAAAGATTTCTCGTCAGATATTATACTTAAGAAGGCTGAAACAGAACCTATTAAAATGAATGAAGCACAAACTCCAGTTGAGGAAGTGTCTTCTCATAATGAGAATGTAATAAGTGCACCTCAAATTAGTCAAGGACAAAATATTTTAGATAATCAAAATCCAAATCCTGGTCATAATGAAGTAATTTCTACCACAGAAATCCCATTAAATGAAGAAATAGTTACAAGTAAGATTAAGTTTTTTATTTTTGATATATTTTTAAATTCAGAATGAATATTTAATATGTATTTTTAATGTTTAGCAACTAAAAATACAGTATCCATTGAGCCAGAAACTACTGGGAATAATCAAGTTTCTGATAAACAAGACCAATTTAATAGATCCTCACCAAATAACAGCCGTGAAATAGATTCATTGCCTACAAACTTGGAAAAAGTAACAGGTCAGTAAAAAATAAGCTGAAATACATATAAAGCAACTTACAATTACATACAGTAATATTTTAATTAACCAAGAATTAATTCACTTTTTTTATAGATAACAATAAAAAACCTAATAAAAGCGCAGAATCAAATGAAAATTATGAGGACGACAAAACTACAGGAACCTCTATTCCTGAAATAAGCTCCCCTAATGAAGACACCGAATTATCTAATCAAACTTCACCAGGTAATTAAATAACTTATTCTATTTTTGGGTTACAAAGTGTTTAATATATTAAAGAGGTATTAAAAATGTTTGTTACATTCAGATGTAAGTAGTTCCCCTTCGCCACCTGAACTATCGCAAAATACAGAAGCTAGTAACAGAAACGTATCAAACGAGAGAGTAAACACTGATGAAGACGATGATTCCAATGAGAAGATACCTAGCACTGAAATTAAAAAGAAATATGATGAAGGTATGTGAATATTGCTTTCATGTGTATTATTGGATGTTAGTTTATCTCATGTGTTCCATATCTTTACAGAAAACTTAGGCAGCATACCACCGAGTTCAGAATCGGATATAAATTCTCCTGCCACTAAAGCTACTTCACTATTTCCTCCAGTGAACCCCGAAACAACAGATTTAACGATAACCAAAACGCCAATTGAGAATCAGAGTGACAGCATAACTAGTTAGTAATTTATTTATAATTCTAGTTGTGAGAATATTACCAATATTTTGAGTCTCATCATTAGTAATGTATAATAAAATTAATTTAATACTATTCCTAGATAATACTGCACTTTTATCAAATGATGGCGAAGTTGTAGACATAGAGGAAGCCCCGAATTCAACTCAACCGGAATCAATTACATCAACCTCTAGTCAGGGAGATAACAATAACATACCTAAAGTCCAGACAGCTGATGTGAATGATGAGGCTACTTGTAAGTTTGAACTTTATTTAATTTTTATTCTATACATTATGATAGGTCAAAATAATATTGCTGATAATTCATTTTAGATGAGGATGCATCTCCCGTTCGTAATAATTCTAAAAGTATTCCCAATGAAGAGGACGTTTCAAGAGAGGAATCTGATTTAAATACAAAGCCGAGTTTAAGTCCAAAACAGAATGTATCCAGTTCTGATGGTAAGTACAACACCCAAAGACATTGTATTATATTGTACAGGTCCTTTATACAATTTTAATATATTATATTTTGCTACAGAGGAATTGAACCCTGTATCAAAGGAAAGTGTGAAAGAGAATAAAAATTCACCAATAGATGACGTTGAAGGCACAGTTGTAAATTCAAGTCCAAGCAGTAAGTTCATAGACATACACTTAACAGAGTGGAAGTTAAAAATGTTATTAAAATGTTGTATGTAATCGTTAGGTGGACTGACCGCTTCAAATAATGAAGAGAGTGCAGTACCAGTAGCTGCTTCTAATGATTCATACTACCAGAATCCTATTGACAAGACTGTTGAAGAGAAACCTTATGAGGATGAAGATGATAAAGAAGAAACTGTAACTTCAAAGTCAAATGATAAACTTCAAACAGGTAATCAACAAAAAATTATTGGCTGTTAAATCAATGAAATGCGTTAAAATATATATAGGATTTATTACACAATTCGTTGTTTTTAAAGAGAGGGATGCCAGCCTCGCAGACGTAACTTATGTCACTTCTTCTAGAATGTTCCATGATATTTGAAAATGAAACTTCAATTGTTCTTGATGCTCCTGTATTTCTCGAAGGTTCTTCATAATCACATACTTCAATGATACGCACTCACTGAACTCTGAACTCTACCGTCGTGCGTCCAGACGTCATATTTATAACAAGATTCAAACATAGTTCTATTCTCCTTTTAAACAATCTTTGATTTCGTTTTACTTTTAATAATAACCATGATTTAATAATAACCATATATTAATACTAAAGAGTTTTAATAAGAATTGATGACAGCCTCAAATTATTATCATGTCGCATTCGTTATTAAAGCTGATAGCGCCGATATATATATTTTATTATAAAAATAACTAATACCTAAATCTTTAAATTATTTTCAGACGTCTCAAAACCATCAGCTAGTACTGAAAATACAGACACAGAACCATCGTGGTTTAACTTAAATGAGATCCTCTTAAAAAAGCTATTGAGTAACGATGACTTACACAATTCATTTTATTTCTTGTTCCCGCGACCCAAACCCAATATAAGAGAGACGAAAAAGACAATTTATCCGAATGGAACCGTCATTATTGAGACGACTCAGACGATTGATGCTGACGGTACGTACAGAAGAAATTAAATATTTTTATAATGAACTTTATTCTTGTTAAAGACAGATAGAATCTACATTTCTAATTTCTAATTACAGATGGAGAGAGAACTACTTCAAAATCAACTCAACGATGTGTTAGTTGTAAAACTTGTGACAGTACTTAAAACATAATAAATGTTTAAAAGCAGTCATTATTGTTATTAAAAGTCTCAAATAATTGTAAACGAATGCATTAGGAGAGTTATTTAAGTATATATAGCATATATAATGTTTGTTCACATTCAAGTATGTTTTATTAATATTACTATATTTTAAACCACTCCATGAAAAACGTTAGCCATAATATCACTAGAGCTGCAAATGTTCAAATTCATTAAATATACTTGTTATTGATTTTATAGCTTGTAGTATAAAATACACATTTTGATATATAATAAAATATTATATCATAATTTCAAAATTCTTTAATTTCACATAAACTGATATGTAATAATTTAAAGATTATATTGTTAAGCTGTAATAATTAACCTTTTTAATTTTAACATTTTATGCATTTAGACGTATTCGTTTTACTTTAAAAAATATTTAACAGTAGCAGTAAGAAGTCGTGATGGTCGTTTTATTTCATTATATATTTTCAAAGGTATTCAGAAAAAGCCAAATCCATACAAACACTTTCCAAACTAAGATAAATATTGTAGGGAGCGTTACACCTGGGAACTATTGATCGATAACTTTATTGTAAGGGATCGAATAATTTTTCAGAAGTTATTCCACTTAGTACTTACTATGTGACAAGGACTACTTGACGTACGTAGTGACAAGGATTCTTAATATAGTTCGTAGGAAGGTTGATTAAAGTTGATTTTAAAGTTTTAAATTTACAGTTGATTGATTGATTTTAAAGTTACAGTTGATTAAAAAATATTTCATATTATTCATTAGACCATTCATAAGACCAACCATTTTTTTTAAATGTATAATTATTACTATTTAACACTGAAAAGACAAAACGCTTACGTTTTTATTCGTCTACATATTTCATACTATGGTACATGAAAATGATCAAGAATTTATATTATTTTAACAAGTAGAGAAATTATCTGTGCACAATAATTCTATTTTTGTCATGGCCAATTGTTTAAGCTAATTTATTTGGCATTGTAAAATTGTTTCTCATGTGACTCTAATATTTCCTTATAATCAGTATTTGTCGTATTACCATTTCTTTTATTTATATGTATATTTTCTATTAACTACTACCAATTGCGATATAATAGGAAAGTAAGCATTAAGACTTAATTATTATTATTATTATTATTAATATTAAAAAATACTGTATTATTTTATATTCATATAATTATTTTAAACCCTAAATGAATTTTCATATCAAACATAGTGTAAGTTCGGTGTCCTGAACTTATATGAGAAAGGGAATTGCTAATGTATTTTCGTTAATATTAATGACAACCTTATTAACCTAAACATATTACATACTCGTAGTCTGTTTGTTCTTCATGAAGCCTTAGAAGCACACATAAACACAGACACTGGTAAAAAAAAAAGTGTACTGTGATCTATTCGGTCAGTGAGTCAGTCAGTCAGGTCAGTGAGAAATTAACTCAAAGGTTGAATGTACAATAAATTATTTCAAAATATACATAAAATATCACATACATATATAGTAGAATGTAATGTAATGTGTACGTGTTCACCCATAAAAATAAAGACGAAGAACATATTGAATATGAATTTTAATGTGAGCTGAGTTTGTTCCTAGTGTCGAGGGAGTGAGTCTTCTCTCTGATAATCCTGGACTAGTTCTACGTAATAAAGTGTTAGGTGATCCCCAGGGGGGTACGAGGGGGGATGAAAGATGGGTGGGGGGGATATTAAGTAATATAATACAGCTCGAACTAATCTCCTTGTTTATAATGTAAACATGTTTATAATTTCCTTATTTTATTTCGAAATTAAAACATTAAACGTGAAACTATATCATAATCTTTATTTACATTGTGTTAATAAATTCGACAAGTATTTAAACTTATTTATATAATGCCTTTCAGCTATTATTAACCTATTATACCTTTCAATATTTCCATCAAACATAAAAGAAAAATAAATGGCATAAATTTTCATAGGACCGTTAGATGTAAAACATTCAAAAGGAAAGGAAAGGTCTAAATCATAAAGGATCGGAGAAGGTTGTGATAAAAGGATCTCAAAGGGAATAAATACTTTTGATTCATTGGAACGTCTTGAAACCTCTTTGTTTGATATCGAACATTTCTCGCCTCGGTCCTTTACAGCTCTACAGACGATGTGGATTCAGATACACGCTTTGTTTCTTATAAATGATAAAAGCAGATAGGTTTTTAGTTCTCCTACACTCTTTATATCGACTTACAACTTGTAATTTCATCTCGAGAGGCAAATTTGATCGATACAAATTTTATGATACAATAAGAAATTTCGCTGTCGTCGATGGACTCTTTGCTCTACTGATATACAAAAAATGTATCTCCTCACAAAATATTGTATAGATATTCATGCCGTGTTTCGTGTTATGAATGATTTTATTTCCATACCTATATTTCAAAAATAACCTGGAATAAAACCACCAAGTGTACACCAAGCATTTAAAATAAAATGTTCACCAATTGTTAGTTCTGTTGATAAATTATTTAAAGGGAAGCCATTAAAGTCACTTAAGTAACAATTTAAAACACATTTATCAGAAATTTGAACACTCGCCAAAAATTCTCGAAATATTTTAATAAATGTATATCAGATATAAAGTCTTTAAAGGTATCTGAATATAAATGTATGCATGGAATGTGTAGTGTAATGATATACATATTTGTAACATACACACGGTCGCGTCTCGTCGCTCGCCCGCTCATGACAAACTCACTCACTCGTCTTTATAAAGCTCTTATATTTTAGTTTTTTTCAGTTTTAGCGGAGAATCACCCAGACGTCACCTCACATTACACTGTGGTTTATACAGTTTGAATTTTATAGAATAAGTTTTCAGTTGAAAAACTAAATTGTAGATTTCTTTATCCAAACTCAGTCGAAGAAGATTGTGGATTTATGATTTTAAATGGACTAAGGAATTAAAATGTTTTGTTATTAGGGATATAATATTATTTACATTTTTTATAATTAAATACTTTTTAGTGTACAATCTGAACATAAAATACACTCACAGTAAATAAAATGTGTTTCAAGTGTGCTCTTATCACTTAAGACCAATATCTGACACAGAATACAAATATAATAACAATATATATTAAAGTTTCTTCCCGCGGTTCCGTCCGCGTCATCTTCGGTATTCGGCGCAGAAAGTAATGAATCAAATATGTTAAACCAGTAGATATGATAACTAACCCTCTGAGCATGCTCCAGTGACACGTCACTACGTACACAATACAACTGTTATTGTGGTTATACACAGACTACATTACTACATAGTTTTTTGTTTTAACGAGCAATAAACATCCGTGCAACATCACACCCTTTTACATATCAATATTCATAGGACAGTATGGCTTTACTGTGTTACAAGATAAAATGATTCTTTCATATTTGTCTATCGTTAAATGATTTCTATGTATACGAGTAGAATAAATGCAAAATAATTATTTTTATCGCTTTCCTCACACCTAGTTACTTACATCCGTAATAAAAATATTTTGAATCGAAAGGAAACAAGAGGTTATTTTCTCAAAATATTTTTTCCTATATACATGGGATTTTTTCTATTTTACCTATATCGCTTGTCCTCATCGGTTTCCTTATCTTGTGTTTCCATTCAAAAATTAAAGTCAATCATTAATTGGTTATTGTTTATGAATATATGATAGTAAACACCTATTCAACATAAATTGTACATAAAATGTGTTTGCTGAATGTTTAAAGCGTTATTTTGGTTTATTAAAGAATCTGTAGTGATGACGTAATGTATGTTATTGGTACAGCGATACTAACAGGCGCTCGTGGGACAGCTCATTAAAGGCCTTTGTCTGCTGAACGAGCTCAAATAAGCCGGGGCTTTGATAGAGACACGGCGTTAACAACTAGCGTGGACGTTATGTAATGGACGAATTACAGAAAATACACAAAAAGATGTATGTTTTATATATATTTGCAAGTGTCAATAACCAATACTATATGGATAAAGCGTATATTCATTATATAGTAATCTTTAATTTTATAAATATTATATACAATATGTTATTAAAAGTCATCAATAAAGTCTGAGATTTAAATTAACATTCCTATATAGAGGTCTTGCATGGAAAGTATAGACAATCACAATGAAATCACACAGAATGAAATGTAATTAAAAATCTTCGTAGAGGCTTGGAGGTTGTATGTATGTGTGAGAGGTTCATCAATGAAGTTCCAGTGAACTGTGAACAGCTTTGTACGTGTAACACAACCTTTGTACTACAGACAGAGATCTTTATAAATAGCCGCCTTCATGGGTTGTGTTGTGGATATTTAAAGTAAACGAGGCTGATAAAGATATGTGTATCAGATCTTTTTCTTATAATAAAATATATACTCAAACATTTTTCATATGTTATAACATGTGGAAGCGTGTATTTCTTTTTCCTAATAAGGTCCAACGTTATCATCATCATCATTTAGCCTATTGCAGTCCACTGCTGGACATAGGCCTCTCCCAACACGCGCCATAACACTCGGTCCTCTGCCTTCCGCATCCACTGAGACCCAGCGACCTTTTTAAGATCATCGGTCCACCTAGCTGGGGGGCGTCCAGGTCCAACGTTATATGTCAGCAATAAATCTGAACCTTTTCATATTTTGAAAAACATTCGTCTGCGTCTGAACATTCAGTGAGATGACGTTCGAAAGAGATTCACAAAAAATTCGAGATTTAGGATTCACAAACACGAAAACTCATGTGATAAAAGAAAATTTGAGAGTCGTATACTTTACAGATTTACGGTTGTATAAGAATATAAGTCAATATGACCTTTGTAAATGTACCG